CTTCAAGAATTCATTGGGGCCGCTCATAACGCCATCAATATCAACCCTTCGCTCTCCCGAGCAACGCATTGTATGGATTTCGCACTTATAGATCTAACATTGATGCCCGTATTATCTACTAATAAGGTCTGCAGAGCGTTTTACCATGGGGCGATGTTTAATGATGTTATCGAGTGTGTAACTGGTTCGATTTTTACCGAGTTTCCCAATAATTGTCGTCTTATCTCTAAAATAAACAGCGTTCTGAAGACAGCAATATGGCCTCAAAAATTGAAGATGTCTCCAAAGAGGAGTAAAAGACGAAATTGTAAATCATGTAAATAAATACTGATAGCCACTCTGCCTGAAAGGAGGCTGGTTCGACGTGAATTAACAGTTATCTAAGCTGATAAGTGAGTTCGATTATCATTAGAGACCTCATACTTGTGAACTTGTGCCAAAGTGAGGTAAGCTTGATAAATTAAATCCATGCCCCAAAAGAGTAAAAAGAAAGACGCAAGTGGTTAGCGAAACATTTTTGAGGAGAAACTGTGCAAACGATTTATCTACAGCCATAGAAACAAGCCAGCTTGGAAACCTTTCCTCAGAAATCTAGAAGAAAGATTCTTGGGGATTTTCAAATTTAACGAAGCACCAGAAAAGTGGGCATACTTATTTAAAAGAAAAACATAATAATTCCATTAGAAATAATGGAAAAACATGAATTAATATGAGATATACTTTTTTGGCAAACATGGACAAACGTGTCCTTCATTAAGACGTAGTGCCAGAAGGATCGTCTTTCGCAGGACACTTCTTTTCTAATTACCTAAGCCTCCATTCATTTACATACAGGGCCTCCGACTCAACACAGAGACCTACATCAAGTGTCTTGAGGAGGTAGTGTTGCCCTGGGCCAAGAGGATAGCTCTGTCTGGCAACAGGACTCTGTTCTATGTCACACATGCAGGAGAACCATTTAGACAATTTCTGCAACCGCATCAACTCTTACATCTGGCCACATGACTCCCCATACTGTATTACCCTTGATTATTTTGTGTGGGGTGCAGTTAGACGAGAGACTAAGGATGAACTGAAGGCAAGGGATTATAGCATTCACAAAATTAAACGAGAAACTCTCCAGATAAGATGCAGGAATTTCCGAAATCATCTTGTGGCCGTGCTGGAAGCCAGTGGCGATTTTATTGAATAAATTTACTCTTTAGTATTTCAAGATGTTTTTGTGTTATTCCGGCAAAAATTGTGTTAAAATTGAAGTGTCAGTGTTACTTTCATTTTTGTTTAAACGACAATTTATCCATCGCACCCTGTAGATAGACGAACATATTGAAAGTGACATATATTGAACACGCATACACACATATCTATCTATCTATCTATCTATCTACATATATATATATATATATATATATAGAGAGAGAGAGAGATAGATAGAGAGATAGATAGAGAGATAGATAGATAGATATGGGGAACCAACTGTTATGACAAATGTATCATCCTAACGACTAATCATACGTGTCAGTTAAGTATACATTTGGATTATACTGACATTGCACGAGAGTGGCAGCGTACACAGTGGATTAAATTTAAAATGTTGTTTTCCATGATAGCCCAAGACCGTATATAGCAAGAATGACGCAATAAACAATCTTTTTTTTAACTCGGTTGTTCGGTCCTACTCCACCCACCATATTCACCTGGCCTTACGCTAACTGATTATTACCTTTCTCGGCAGCTGGAAAACGCTTTGATGGGAGAAGATTTTCTAATAAAAACCAGGTTGCGAAAACTTTTTCACATGCCAAATTTTACTCAAATCCTTTCGAAGAGCTGCCTGATAAGTTAAAAGTCGTTGAAAATAACGTGGATATTGAATAAAATGCAATTGTACTTCAATTTTTGAAGTATAAAATTTATAAACAAAAACAGAAATTAGTTAAGACTTAACTTACTAGATTATTATTTACACAATTTATATTCGGACACTTTTCCTCATCTTTGTCGTCTTGGGTATGACGATAAACTACATCCGTGTCCTGGGGAAATATGATAAACTCCATCCGACAGCAAGGCCTTTGACGAGGTTTCGAGTAGCATGGAATCACCCCTTAATTGCTGGTGTTCTCAGGTCCACCCTGACCCGGGGTGGTAGCACCTTTCAGAGTCCCAGCTACGGGCGAATAGTTACAGCCCCAACCGCAAAAGTAGTCAAATCACTATGAAATTATAAAAGTAGGTTTTACTACTAGTAATACCTTTTTGGAATTATTATTAGCAGCAATAAAAATCTTATCGGCATTAAAATAACCCATAAAGATTGATATGCCGTAAAACAAGCCAAATCAAACCAAGCCTCATCTTTGTTGTTTTTATCACAACGCTTTCGGTGTTGTGCGCTCCGGCCTTCCTTATTAAACCCGTATAGAAATAAATACAATATGAGTACGGTTAATAAAGTGAGAAAGACAAATGACAGTAAGTCTTCAACTGCCGCAGAAGCAATCAAAACATAGGCCGTAACAGCAGTCAAATCATGACAGCCAGTAGCAGCAGCAGTGGCAGTGACAGTGGCAGCCTAATCAGCAGTGAAGTTTAGATTTAAATGCTTTAAGTCTACTTCAGCAAATGGCAGCGGTTCCCAAACACATGTCCGCGACACTATTATATGTAATTTACGATATTTTATTACCATACAGAGAATAGGAAGTTAGACCTACGAAATAAATTTTAGAATAACACAAAGTTTTTGTACGCAGGTAGGCTTGATACACTTTTATTGATAATTAAATATTAAATATATGAATTTCGAACCAGTAAGCTTCATTCCCGCCCGAATAAAAGTAAGTTTTCTGTGATCCAATTTTTATTTGTCCGGGGCTATAAAACACAGACAATTCAAAAAAAAAAAAAAAATAATCAAAAAATATCCTGACATCTTCCTCAACTTCTCTGTTACAAGACGCTACGCCACTGTCACTTCTCAACACGCCAACCCTTGTTTTATCCTGATAACGAAAGATCGGTAAGTACCCAAAATTTCCTCTAAATCTATATTCTATCTTGGAAGATTCATCAGAAATATCTCTTACTGACATCAAAAACATTTTCGAAGATCATCTGAAAAATCTTCAAGAAGAAATGGACAAGTATTTTCCAGAAAGTGTTGACATCGAGAAGCTTAGCTGGATCAGAAATGTTTTCAGTGTGAACGTCATTGAAGTTGGTGAAGATATTCCAGGGTTTCAAGAAGAACTTATAGATCCCCAAGAAAATCAAGTATAGAAACGCTTTAAAAATTTTACATATTCAGAATTTTGGATTTAGCTCAATGATAAGCCAAATGTAACAAGGGAGGCTGGAAAAGCTCTTAACTCTTTTCCAACAACAAATCTCCGTGAACAAGAGTTTTCAAGTCTTGTTGCGATCAAGACTAGAGCAAGAAACCGCTTGGATCCCCAGCATGACTTGAGTTGTGCTCTGGCAATTGACATCAAACTTAGAAAATCTCTCTCAAAATGAAGAAATTCCCTGGTAGTCACTGAAAAACATTTTTGATTTTGTGACTTTTGATTACCAATTCATGTATTAAAATTTTTTTAATGAAATTTTGCTTTTTTTTCAATTTTTTATAAACAAAACATTGTATTAATAATATGAATTTACTCAGTAAACATATACAGTTTTAAATAAGTGTAATGAATCAAAATTTATCATCATATGTTGTATATACAGTGTAGATATGTCATCTTCTTGGCTGTTTTTTGGCATCTCAATTTTGAAAATTCAAACTGGAAAATTTGTTCATGGTATGTTCTTCAAAATCTAAAAGCAGACCAGCTGCCTGGTAGGTATTTCCATTTTTATCATTGTAAATCAGTGAGTGGGGGGAAAATAGTATAAAAAATTTCCGATATAAATGTTTGATTGTAAAATATCACGAAACATTTTATATAAGTCCTGAAAAAATTACTAAAATCGGGTTATTTGATTTTTGGTGGATTTTTGAAAAATACTGGTGATACAACCGTAATGAAATAATTATTTGCGCTGAAAGTTTAAAATCTCAAATCTCAAATTTGCTATTTTTTAAAACTATAAAATAAATAATTTTTATATGAGATTTTTCCTTCAATCTTTCCTCTTAATAATATATAAAAAATTATGTTGAATTTCTTTCGTAGTTTTGGTGTTATGTTAAATTTTTAATTCAATTGTAAAAAACAAGCAAAAAAAAATTGTCATCTAACATACAGGGTAGCCGGATCAGGAAAAAATTGTATTTAGGGTCACGGGCAAAAAAGTTTGGGAAACACAGGCCTATTGGGTAAAAAAGTTGGTTTGTGAATTTGGTGAGAGAGTCGTTGTAAGTTCATGGGTCTGGTAGTGTGTTCTTGAACCCAGCGTTAAAGAACGAGCAATAACTGATCAGTTCTAAATAAAATTTAAACTGGAGTAGTGGAACAAGATCAGTCTACCACGTAGATTAAATAAAGTGTTCAATTCGGAATTCCCTGTAGATTACTCAGATCGATAAACACCTGAAGAATATCGGAGGGCACAACGGCCGAAATGTTGTGACAATAGTCCGAATATCAATACTGTAAAACTCGTCATCTCATTACCCTACTACACTGGCTCCAATGCGTGTTAGCAGGAGAGCGGATATGATACACTTGGGCTATCGAGTATATTTTTCATTCATGTTTGCCCAAAGGTATTTGCACGTATGTGAATGTAATAGTCGAGGCGTCGATGATTAAGTCGGAAACCGAACGGTAAAAAAAAAAGAGCTGTTATAGAGCCGCTGAATTCCTTGGAGTCCACGTCCATCCACTCCAGCTCTGGGTTAAATAAACTCACCAATCCGCAATCGGCCAAGCATGGGGAGTTCAGCTACACACCGAGTGAGGAAAAGCCCTTGATCTGGATTTGATCGGTTCTCCAATTATCTTTTCTGAGCCGTCATTCCCTACGCTACTTGCATAATGCATGTCCAGACTAACAACATTAGATTTTCCCAAGCGCTCACCCATCACGGTACTGGCCAGGTTCAACGTTGCTTAACTTCAGCGTTCTGGCGATAACCAGTGTTTCAACCTGATATGTCCGTATGCTCTTGTTACGTTCACACGTGCACATATATCATTGAGATCCATTTAATCCATTATCAATTATGAATCAATTATGAATCAATTACGAATCCATTTTCTCACCTTCCGTGTGTGGGGTAGGAGGGGAATTAACATAATTGACTGACCTTGAAGTCACAACCAGTGGACGAGATGGAAATTCTGAATTAAAAAAATCTGCCTGAAGAGGGATGGGCTCCGTCAGGATATAACTGCCCTAGACACACCACTGTTGCTTTGATTGCAATCCAGGTGGTTCTCCTTTGACTCTGATGGGTTGCAGGATTCGTATCTCGTAGTTGTTTGTTTACCATCATGGATTGTCGGATGTAAAATGACGAAAATGAGGAGAAAACGAACGGAAGTTAGCATTTTCAATCGTGGACAAAACTGATATTTATTTTAACTTGTTTACTTTCAAAGCTCAAAAGCTTCTCATTATAACCTGGAGGCATTTCGCGTCAAGGAGAGTTGACACATGACATCTTACATTCTGTCAACCATCAGTAATGTGTTATTTCCTTTACGTATTTGCCTTTTGGGGAGCGCCATGCTTTTCTTCGTCACATGCCGCAACCGGTGGCCTTCGTTCGATATAAAGTCACTGATAAAATGTCTATTTTAATTATTTCAAAACACTAATTATCAATATAAGCTTAATTATTTTTACTAATTAATATTAAAATATCACCATCATAAGGTCGGGGGTGGGGCAAGAATTCTTACTTATTTTTCTCTTAAGGGACACCACTCTGTGTAATATTTTTCGTACTAAATGTTAATGGTAATTGTAATATTAACTGTTAAGTAGACAGTTTTAATTGACCGATCGACCAGTGTCACTGTAGGTTGAAATTTATAAAATCTTTATCTTAAAACAATTTTTCAGGAATATATTTTCTCAAGTCCAGTAACTGTTATCGCTCTTTCCAATATATATTAGGACTTTCTTCCTAACCTTTTATTTGAATTAGTGTGCAACGTTAACATCTTGATTATGTTATTATTTCTTCTTCAAGTTTCATGTGCTATCCATTTTCATTGTGATGTGGACCCAAAGTTGGTACCACGGAAGGAAAACACGGAACACGGATTAGAGGTAAGAAAGATATATTAAACAAAAAGGTTACAAATATAGTGTAAGTGTAAGCGGAGCTTACTATGTGCTAGTGTCCAATATTGGTAGTCGTACGCAGCTGATACTACGGTATTAGAATACTCTCTCACTCTCTTTCCTCCTCTTCTCCTAGAGTGTTATATCGCATACTTTATATAGTCCTGGAAGAGTCCACAACACCCCCCCTTCCAAGAGTTTTCTTTTTTTTTTTCTTTTTTGAAAAGGAGAAAAAAAACATAAAACTGTTAATACTTTTTTTTCTTGGGATTTACGTCGAGCGGTTGAGTAAATTTCCTTTTCCTTCCTGAGCGTCGCACTTCAGGAGAGACTTGGGGCGTGTCGAGATCGAAGTGATCGAAAATTACATCGATCGGCTCTTCACAGCTATTTTGTAGTGATTCCTCCGATTCCTTCAAACGGCATTTTCTGAGCTGGTTCCAATGGCGTTTGCGAGTGTTTTTCGGTGCTTGGATAATATAGACCAGTTCGCCAATTCTTTGTTTTATGGTGCCTACTTCCCAGAATGTTATGTTGTTTTTGTAAGCCTTGAAAAAGACTTTATCGCCAGGATTGAAATATTTCTTATGAGGCGACACGGTTTTTTTTTAACTTTGCTTGCAGTGGAATAAGTTTGTCGAAGACAGACTTGATTTTCCTTGCGAACATTGTTTCTGCAGGCGAGCTTCCCATAGGCGTGTTCGGATTAGGGGTTATCCGATACACCTGCAGAAACTGTTCCAATGCTCTATCTGTCGGTGTGCCTAGTGCCTTTTTTAAAGCCCTTTTTAGAGTGTCCACGAACCTTTCGGCCTGGCCATTTGACCTAGGGTGGTACTGAGGCCATTTTGAGTGGCTATCCACAACAATGAGGTAGTACATGTTGTCTATAGGCCCTGCAAAATCGACATGAATTCTTTGCCATGGATGGTCTGTGTTTGGCCATGGTTTGCATGTCGTGGTTGGAGCTTTTGCTGCAAGCGCCCATCCTTTGCATGATTCTATCATGTCTGCTATGTCCTTGTCCATGTTTGGCCAATGAACATAGCAGCGCATGAGGCTTTTCGTACGGTTCTTCCCCGGATGTCCCATGAGAAAATCCCTGAGGATTTTTCTTTGAAGGCTGTTTGGAATCACTACGCGGTCATTGTATACTAGGACATCATCGCAGAGGGAGAAAACTTCAGACACATTGGGGTCTTTATTGCGAATTTTGCTTTTTATGGATTGAATGAATTCATCCTCTCGAGACTCCCTTTTTATGTCGGCCAAAGTAACTGGGAGCTCTCTTATGGTACTCGCGATCATGTTTTTGATTTCACAATTTGTCCTTAGAGTAGCAATGATGGAGTCTTCAAAGACTTCTGTATTTTTTTTGGAATGAGTCGCGATAAACTGTCTGCATGGCAAATATTTTTGGATGTTGGGAAGACTGGCAGACCGTTTTTAGAACCAAAAATTGTAATTAGAGGTTTATGGTCCGTCTGTAGTATGAACCGTCTACCATGTAGGTATCTGTGAAACTTTGTCACAGCGAATATTATCCCTAGAGCCTCTTTCTCTATTTGGGAATATTGTTTCTCAGCTGGAAGTAGAGATCTTGATGCATGAGCCACTGATTTTCGCGAGCCATCTGGCAGTTTATGTAGAATGCAAGCACCGATGCCGTACGAGCTTGCATCACTTGCGACTATGATGTCGAGACTAGGGTCGTAGTGGGTGAGGGGAGAGGTCCGAAGTAAGAGTTTTCTTGATCTTCTCGAATGCGTCTTGGCATGACCATAGTTTGTCGTTTTTTAAGAGTTGGTTGAGACGCCCTCTCAAATTTTTCATGTTCTTAATGAACCCTTGGTAAAAGTTAGCTAGGCCGAGGAAGCTTTGTAACGCTTGAACGTTATCTGGGGCCGGCATGTTTCTGATCGCGTTGGCTCTTTCTGGATCTGGCCGACGACCGTCTTTATTTATCTGGTAAGAAAGTCACACTTTGCCTCCTTAACCTTAAATCCGTATTCGTGTATCTTTTCGAATACGTTTATTATATGGTTCCGGTGCTCTGCCGCAGTATATCATCCAAATAGGATGTTGCGTAGTCAAGGTCGCCCAGCATGGCGTACATGACTAGCTGGAAAATTGCAGGTGCAACCTTTACTCCAAAAGCCAGTCTGTTGCATTTGTACAACCCTCTATGGGTGTTTATGCAGAGCAATTTGGAACTTTCTTCTTCCACCTCTATCTGAAGGTATGCGTCCGAGAGGTCGATTATAGAAAAAAATTTTCCACCATTGAGTTTATTGAAAATTTATTCAGGGCTTGGGAGAGGATAGGGGTGATCTTTCAAGGCATCGTTTAACCCTGTGGAAAAATCTGCGCATACTCGTATTTGGTTGGACTTCTTTTTTACGTAGATCGTAGGTGCTGCCCACTCGCTGAAATCTGTTTTTGACAGAATACCTGCTTGTTTCGAGTCTATCTAACTCTTTGTTGAATTGCTCTAGAGCAGCGAAAGGGACATTCCGTTTCTTTTTGTATACCGGTTGTGCACCGTCTTTCACCTTGAACTTACTTTCATTTTAGTACATTTCCCAAGGCCGCCAGAAAAAACCTGGGGGAATTGTTGTTTGAGTTCCTTTTTGAGATTTACCAAATTGGACGTTGTACTTTGTATCTTGCGACAAAATGTACTCATTGGGCAATCCCAAAGGTTGAATTTTTCTATACAATCTGTTCCAAATAAGTTATCTGAAGTTTTCAATACGTGGGCTTTGAGCTTTTTGGTAACTCCATTTAGTGTTACTGTAAGTATTACCTCGCCTAAAATGTTAATCTTTTCGCCAGTTACGGATTTTGCTGTTTTATCCGTTTTAAATAAGGTCGGCTTGTTTAATTTTCGCCAAGTACGCCAGTTAATGTTTGAAAGATCGGAACCCGAGTCAAGCTGGAATTTAATGGAATTATTGAAAATATCCAGTTACATATTTCCTTAAATTCCTATCGACAATATTGTCAGATTGAGCTTGCCTAATTTTATTTTTGGGTTTTCTTGTTCTGTTGGCGTACCAGCACCGAGTTAAAGTATGCCCACTTTTATTGCAATTTTTGCAATATTTTTTGTTCTTAACTGGACAGAATTTCATCCAATGCCATTTACCACAATGGTAACATGGTCCGTGCGGTTTCTTTAACCTATTTGGGTTTTGGTTACAGCGAGATTTAGGACATGAGATTTGCCTTTTGTCTTTTTGAGGGGAATAGGAGGTAGACTTGCTTCTGATTTTGTTAATCTGAGCCACACCTGATTCCTCGATAGTGTTTGAGTCACACTTTACAGATATTACTCTTTGACAGTCCTCTGCCAGTTTTTGGAGAGTCAATCCTTGTTCGTTCTCAAGCTTGGTCAGTACCCGTCGTCTGACTTCGGCGTCTTCTGCTGATACTAGACCTTGTGCGGAATTAAGCTCTTGAAATCATCGGCAGTCTGTTCGGCTAGTTTAAAATCATTACAGAGCTTGTTTACCGATGCTGCAAATGTTAGAAAATCTTGCTGGTTGTCTTTGACTGTGTTCAGGCATTTCCAACGTTTGTGGAACAAGGTTGTGTTAGGTCCGAATAGTTCCGATAGGAGCTTAATAGTCTCTGAAAAATCCAAGTCAGTGGTTTTCTTGGGTAGTATGAAGTCTACCAACCTACTATGTTCTGTAGTTCCAAGTTTTCTCAATAGTAGACGTAGCTTTTTTTACTGGGCCATTGTTCACAGTCTACGTTGAAAATATCTTCGTAGCCTGTAAAAGGCCACGAACGTTTTGTCGTTCTCTGGTACGTATTCAAATGTTTCCATTTAATTGTAGATTGTACTCTGGGAGAATATTGTA